GACGAGGAGGAGGAGGAGGAGAAGGAGGAGGACGAGGAGGAGGAGGAAGAAGAGGAGAAAGAGGAGAGGGAGGAGGAGGAGGATTGGAAAAAGGAGGAGGGTGAGGACGATGACGATCAGGACAATGAGGACGAAGAAGAGGGTGGTTACGATGTATGGTGTTGTCGTTGTTCTTGTCATTTTTTGTTGACGCTGAGGCTCTTGTGTTTATTGTTAAATAGGGAGAACAAAATGAGAACGAGCACAAATAGAAGGACGTATATTGAAAGAAAAGGAGGAAGGGAAGAATATAATATTTCAAAATCATTTTGTTCTCACGAGGAAGCTTAACGTTTAAGCCTTTTTGTTAGACGTAAGTTGTCAAGTGATGGTTGGAGAGGCAAATACAAATCTCAATGTATCACGCAATTCGCCTCTAATGTTAATAACTTTGGTCCAAATAATATGGTTGTCGGTAGGTCTGTCTGGTTCTTTTAAAAAAAGAATAAAAAAAATATCGCAGTCTCTGTTTTCTAAGAACAACACTGCTTGTATAAAGAATGGCTTAATTCTTTAAGGACGAAAAGGGCACATAGTAATAATATTTCACTACAGGAACGGACCAAAGGCAGTGTTGCGGCACATTCAAGCCTCCAAACACAAATCAGAAAGAAAAATGCATTTTGTTACCTTCTCTTATTTAGTTTAAGATAAAGAAAACTGTTGAAAAATCTGAAAGGATAACGAACTCATGTCTCTTTCTTTTTTTTTAAAGAGCTACAAAACAGAGCGTCTACATAAGTGTTGTCGAAAGGCCAAATAACGCGTCCTCAAAAAGTTAACATGGAAATAAGAGCACTTACAACAATGGCAGTATACCAAAGCATGATGGTTTTTCAAACAAGGATGAGTACTGTCTTCGATCAGCCTGATTGCTCTTGAAACAGCCACTGTCTTAGCCCGTAGCAGCGCTTCCTACTTCCCAGACCAGAAATCACGCCAATGAAAGGAGGAGATTCGTTCACGGTACCAAAGTCTACATGCCAAGAGGAGCATCGTAATCAGTTGCGAAGTTAATCTGCTTAACAAGACCGTGAGCAAAGCGTTACGACATGGTTTCTCGCCTGTCACCGCTTGCTTTCTTGTTCGTCTTCAGTGGTTAATTTGAAGTGACCACTCGTTTCAAGAAAGGACATAATGATAATATTATTACAATTTTATAGCCTAAGAATTCGCCGTCTGAGACAATAAAAAATCACAATACAGTCTAGGAAAACAACGATCGAATCAAGCAGAGAAATATTCTAGACAATGTAAAATTGGCACTGAATTCAGCTTCTTTCTAACCTCTTCATTGCAAGACTTGTTGTACATCCTCTGAACAGCCCATGACAGTCTTGGACAATAAGAAAGTCTGTATGTGTGTGTGTGTGTGCGTGTGTGTGTGTGTGT